ATTGTCAAAAATGAATGAAGGGATATGAACATTTTGTTTACCGTACCATGTTGATAAACTAAAAAAAAGGTTGAACCCCAATTTCGAGGGCCCCATCGTCTCATCTCTAGAGTTTTGTGAGGGAGATAAATCGCGAAATGTGCCCCAACAAGTCAGGAAATAAGAGCTACTTGTACACTGCGCCTATAAGAAGTCTAATTTCATGTCTCAGGAATTGAACCCCCACACCGCGGCTGCTAGCAAAGCGTAAGATAATCTCGCTTCTGTCCTTTACATCACTGGACGATGCCCCGGGAGGCACCATGTTGATAAACTAGTTTGTAAGTTGGGCAAAGTATGTACAATGTGCACTTACACACTATTCAATATGCTTGTTAAATGAAACAAATGTAACTTATTTGGTTTAAGCAACAACTTATCAAGAACGGATATGAATATTGAGACTAATCCTATATTTTTCATTTCTTCAAATGAGTCATTATCTCAAAAATTGGGTTGAGCTTAAATTTGTAGGGGACTTTGACATTGTCGAACCTCTCAACGTTGTACAATATGTCAATTGCCTATACTCCATTTGAAAAAGAGTGCTCTTGCTCACACGATGGGAAAAAGCTAGTCAATATTTTTGAAACAAAGAGTGCCTGTGCTCTCATGATCGAGGTTAGTAACTGCGTGTTACCTTTTCAAAACAAATGGAAGTGTCTTATGCATTGGCAAGAAGAGGGTGTCACCCTTTGCCGTGAATAAGAAGCAGATGACCCCTTTGCCACTTCCCCACACAGCTCCCACAATGGACCTCTTCTGGTACTCGTCTTCGGTTGGATCAAAATTGTGTGGTGACCATAACCAATCAAACCTTAAACAACAAACAAGAAATTGAAAATAGTGTTGGAAAAAATGTGTTGCGTATGGGGCTGCTTTGACATAATTTTGAATGGGATTTGTTCCTCGTTATTGAAAGATCAAAGTAGATTTGTTTTCTTCTCCGTGAGAATAGCGAAATCATATATTTACTATCAAAATTGATGTTCAAGTGAATAAAGAATTAGAGTTCAGAATGTATTCATTGAAATGAGTTTATATGTTGGAGAGAAAACAATTAAAATTTTATTCCACATAGAAAATGAAAAAGATAATATATGGTTACACTTTCGTAAGGTGTAATTATATGTAGCATAGATGCTATCTCCACGTACACATGTAGAGATGGTGTAAATCACAGATCAAATTAGTACCTCAAACCTTGAATGTGTGTGAGAACTCAACTTGCGTACACAAAGGACCAAAAATTGGTCTCTTAGAAAAATCTCATCACTATTTGTAAATAATTTTTACAGTTTGTTTGTCGCTTTGGGAGACAAATGCTCAAGGAAACCTCAATCACTTACGGTAAAGTGGCAAATTTGTTTGAAGGACATTGTGTAATGCATATGCCTCTGTTTGCAAATATTTTTCTTTAGTGATTTATATATTCTTGCAAGTTTTATTTCATGTTTTGTTCTTTCTTAATTAATAAAATATTGTTATAGCTTGCAATTATTGTCTAACAAACTTAAAACAGGTTCGATTAAAGATCAAACAGTTGGTTAATTTAATCTTCGTTAAGAAACTAATATTTGTTTTTATTTTTCAGAAATGAAAACTAAATTAAACCAATATGGATGTGACTACTGGAAAATCAAATTGTGGTTCAAGTGTCACGTTCTACCGTGACCCAAATTGTGGCTAAATTGCAAAGTCATGTTGTGACTTAGACAATGGGTCAAACAGTGGCCTTGCTGTAACTGTTCCAATAAATCATGGGAGAAAATTGAAGAAACACAGTGGTTTGAATATCAAGAGATAACAACAGAAAATGTTATTTCATTTGACCATCTTGAATCTTACAAAGTTTTACACTGAGGATGTTCCAAAACTTCAATAGTGTGAGATAGATTTACAAGTTATTTAGTGCACTTAATGCTTGGAAATATTATAATTTCCTGCGTAATAATTAGAAAACATTTCCAGCTGCAAAAATTCATAAGTTTCAAATCTGCTTCTTCTAGTGACATGTTTCCATGATATAATAATTTCTTATGAGAAGTGACGAATCCAAACATTTCGAACTGTGGGGTTAAAAATGAAAATTTTCATCGTAATCCGTAGTTGAGTAGTAGCAGGGTTGAACCTATGTAGCAGGGGCTGAGCTGTTGAGGAACGATCGAGTGGAGGGCCAATGGCAAAGAGAAAACTGTAAAATGGAAAAGACGAATGCAAAAAGAGAGATGAGTCATGACTCACGTTTGGCAATTGGCAGTTTGGGAAAAATGAGATTTGATTTGGAAATATTGGAACTCATTATGTAAGTCTGATTGGATTTGGGTAAATCAGTAAATGGATATGGATATAGTTATTGGATTTGGACTTTTTACAAGTGTGAGTAACTATTGGGAAATTGAGTTTAGCCATTAGTAGTGGGTAGCTGTTAGGTTATCCAAAGAAAAAAATATTCAAAAATTTGTGGAGTCATTTGACCTCACAAGACCCCATGTGGGTTCGCCCATTGAGAAGCAAATCCGTATTTCAGCTTGATATATCCTATTTTTGGGAGTAACCAAGATGTTTTGTCTTCCAGCTCATTTTGACACAACTCTTTCATGGCAGGGACCATCCTCCTAAAATGTTTTAACAGTTATGCATGAGTACCTCCATAGACAACACTAAAGAGAGCATTCGAATTTCGATTTGGGCCTATCATACAATTCCGAAAAGAGAATGACGAGACGAGTAGAACTCACCGCTTTGCCATGAAACACGATGGATTTTGGCCATCCGAATTCGTTTAAGACTCGAAAAGTGTCTTTAAAGTTTTAGTGCTATTTCAATCATTTAGGTAATTTTGGATTCTTTTCAATTTTATTTTGTTTAAACTTGATTTTCATTAATTTAGTCATCTTATAATAGGCTTTCGTGTAAACCCTTATAAATAAGGGATTATTTCGTTGTTTTGTTCATATTTTTCATTAATAAAATTTGTAAGTTTATTCTTTTTATAATTTGATTGATTTCAAATTTCGCGTTCTTAAAGTTTTCGCTTCAATTCATTGTTTTATGCTGCATCATTTTGAATTGAATATAATTGATTATATTGAACATTTTCAATCCCTAGGTTGGTCTCTTTACTTTTCACCTATCTTATTTGTCTACCTTTCAGCTTAATTATTATTCTTAGAACATCTTCTAAAGACTCTTTAAAAATGAGATGTTTATATTTCAATAATTTAAATCATGTTTCAGGAAACTCTTTAAATTAATATTTTAATTTAGAGAGTGGGTTTATAGAGAATTAAACCCACTCTTTATAATTAAATGTATTCAAAGTATATCAATTTTGAATATAGGAAAATAATAAAATAATTTAGAGAATAGCTAATTAAAATAAAAGATATAGAAAAATAATAAATATTTTTTAAGAGTAAAATTAAATGTTAGATATAAAGAACTTGTTGGAGTATTTCAAAATTTTAATTCTCTAAATTTATAGATACTTTATAAATGATAGAATATATTTTTTAAAAATAGAAAGTCTCTCGAAGATACTCTAAATGGGGATTGGGCATATGGTTAACCCTAGTCATGCTTGCATGCATATTTATAATATGCGGAGTATGTTTGAAAATTGTTTGTAAACAATGTAAATTATAAATAGATAGAAATGAGTGGTGAATAAATGTATAGTATTTGTAAGTTCCTCTCAATATTACCTTTCCAAGTATTTCTATAAATTAGGTTCAATTATGATGAGTTCGATCGTGTCTTTACCATACCCGTCCTAGCTTGGACATTAACCATGAAAATGAATTTTATGGTCATCACAGCACACTACATTTTCCACTATAATACAAGTTTATTTTTCATTAAATTAGAGCGAGAGTTTATTTACCTTGATTTGTAGGAGATACGAGTGATCCATTCCATCAAGCATGCATTGAATGGAACCAAAGTTGAGGGAAAGCATGAAATGCATACGGGCTAGTAGGGACCAACTTGCAAGAGTTGGAAATTCATGAATGTGAAGATCCCAGCATAGCTAATATGTTCTGACTCATGCATCTGTTGATAAAGCCCGTCCAAAGTGATGCGCGCCCCATAGAAAGAAGCACGCCCACCTGAAGTAGCATTCTTAGACACGTCCTTATCATGGCTTCTTTGGGCCATCTTCGAACAAGTTTCTTTGATTCATTGTGCGAAAAGACACAAGTCGATCCTGCACTAATGCCATCCTCCAGATGAAGTGTAGCACAAGAATGCATTTAGGTAACCATGCTAATAAGCTTTGTGGGTTAAAATATAGAACTAGTCATTGTTTAGACTCGAAATGGAGGTAGGCTAAGTGTGGAACAAAAATATTTCTTGCTACAACTCTCGGAGTATCGACTTGTAAGATATAACCTACGAGCCTATAAACAAAAAGACATATGTCTAGGCAATAACCCCACCTATCAAGAGTTGGGATGGCTATGATATGAAGGGACCGAGTGGTGATACCAAATCATCCATTGAACGTTGGGGATCGAGGGGTGAGACCATGATATGAAGGGAAATATATGGTGCAAATAGTCAAACTAGGATTTACTTTACCAAGTGTTGACAGTATTGACTCACAATTTTCAACATCAAACACTGTCGAAGTTAAATAAAAAATCTCTTGTAAGCAGAATTTTGTCAACAGCACGATCCACCATTGAATTCGCAAGATCAGGCAATCTGTCCTAACAAGTTACCATCTTTCTGTGTGACTGTCTTAGTCAAACTCCATTCACATTGTTGACATTGATGAATTATGTGCTTGCAAATCAATACTCGAATTCTAGTGGAAGAGTTTGATGGCTTTCGAATTGTACCAGTCTCTCTAGCCAAGGAGGAGGAGGATTTGAATCTTGAACTCTATATATCTGTATCCTTGGCCAATAACTCGATAATGAGAAAATATTATCCACCTCTTCACGATTTTTGTTCTAGCTATCGTCCAAACCCTCCAATCTTGAACCATATCTATCAGTGTCCTCGGCCAATAACTCAATAATTTTGAAAATTTTATCTGTTTCCTTGTGATTTCCATCCCCTGTGGTAAATAGATGAGTTTTCCCTTTCACGTCCATCCAACTGCATCCCAACTCCTTTCTAGCCTCTAATTGTCTCATATGTCTCCTCATCTTTGCCACCTCCTTCCATTTCCCAGCTAAAGCAAAGATATCAACCACCATCGAGCATGCACTCGAATTGTTAGGTTCAAGTTCCAATATCCGTTCAGCTGCGTAAACACCCAAATCTAAATCACCCCAAATCCTACATCCATTCAGCAATGTCCTCCAAATTATCGGTTTACGCACGAAGGGCATTTGTTTTATGAACGTGTAAGCTTCTTCAAGCTTTCCTGCACGTGCAAAAAGGTCTACCATGCAGGCAAAGTGCACAGGTTCTGGTGAAATCCCATAATCCATATCCATGGACCTAAAATATTGCTTCCCTTCCTCTACATATCCACAATGACTACAACTGTGCAAAACTCCCATATAACTGATATCATCAGGCGAAAACCGAGCCTTTTGCATCTGATGAAAAATCATCATAGCTTCTACTCCATAACCATGCTGTGCATAACCCATAATCATAGAGTTCCATGTGACCAGATCGGGTTTAGTTAGTTCTACAAAAACACGCCGTGCATTATGAAAACTACCGGACTTCACAAACATCGAAATTGCTGAATTTCCAATACAGGTATTCCCCTCAAAGCCCCTCTTAAACAGCTGACAATAAAATTGCTCACTTGGTGAAACCAGAGCTAAATTAGCACAAGCAGCCAAAGCACTAGTAAATGAATGAGAATTTGGTTGAGTGCCATCCACCAGCATTTTCTTGAACACATTCAAGCTTTCACAGACAAACCCATTTTGCTGAAAACCTGAAATAATCGAAGACCAAGAAACTGAATTAGCCTCTGGCATTTGCTCAAACAAGTGCCAAGCATCATCAACCTGTGAAGAGCGGCACAATCCAGTAACAATAGCCGTCCAGCTGACGACATCTTTATCAGGCATCACTGTAAAAAGCTTCAATGCAATGTGTGTTTTTCCTGCCTTAATATAACCCATGATCATGGTATTCAAAGTGACAGAGGTCCTCACGGGCATTTTATCAAACATTTCTCTTGCATCAAAAATCCTATTGTTTTCAATGTAGCACTTGATCATTACATTCCAAGAAACTGAATCTTTTCTACCCATTTGATCAAAGATTTTTCTCGCACGATCAACTTCCTTTTTGAGTGAGTGCTGTACCATTCTTTTTGTCAGTCTGACCAAAGGATCATCCTTAGCATCCTTTTCATATTCAGTATATCCATTTGAAAAATGAACTCTACGATTATGCAGTCTATGCATGCAAAAGGGTTTGGTATATAGGGTCTGGGTTAGTCTATTGATTTTGAACCATATTCTGAAATGGATCATTATAAATGCTTAAAGGTGCATTTGTCTAGGAAATAACTCGAGGTTATTTCACGAATAAGCCCTCTTTGTGGTGGAGATTAAAATCATATTTTTAGCAGATTTTGTTAAGAAGTTGATAAACTATGTGGCTGAAAAATCTTGACTCGCATAAAATATATAACTAAAATTAATTGTTAATTTCAACTCCATAAAAAAATCAGATTTTAATTTTCTATCAAATAGGGGCTAAGTGATATTTTCAAAGACTGGAAATGGGCAACCTCGCTGCATTATCGGATAGATTTGCCATCTTCCTTGACAGAATGTGCATTCTGTCATTGGCCAGTTTAGAAAAAGGGGGGGAAAAAATAGGGGGCAATTTTTGCACCAATTACTTGTTGCCACACCTTCATCTGTCATCTAGATGTCAAATCCATCTAGCAAAATTAAGGTTGAACCCTAACCCTGAAGGTTCCCATCGTCCCGCCCTTAGAGATTTGTGAGGGAGGTAAATCGCGAGATGTGCCCCAATAAACTAGGAAAATGATTCAGAAATGAGAGCTTTCTGACACATGCTCTTCGTAACTAATTACATTATCAATCACTTTTCGAGCCTAATCTAGAGGTAGGTGAGCTAGACTCAAAAAGTCATGCCTACTCTTCTTTGGACTTGATCATTTGGTGGGAAAGCTTAGAGATGAGAAGCTCTTTCCTTCTAATTGATATGACATGATTGTTTTGACAATACAAATGAATCTCAATAGACTAGATGTAATTTAGTCTAACTAGCATTTGTTGGTTGGATACAACTATACTATTTAGTTCGATCCATAAGCATTGAACGGATGTTTCCCCAATATGAAAGAATCGAGAAGAATGTGTGCACACCAAACGCTTGGTAGCTCAATATGTGTGCAAAGACAATACTTATTTATGAAGAAGAATAAAAACGCTTGGTAGCTCAAATGTGTTTCTTGTTTTTCTTTTTAAACAAAGAGGAAAGACTCCTTTTGGGTGATAATTGTCACCCTACATTATTGTTGTCAATATTTTCTAAAGCAAAATTGTGAGGAAATAAATGTACATAAATTTTAAGTTTGATGTTATGCAAAGTGATTCGTTAGTTACTTTTTGTTTGAACTCATCTTTTTCATCATTTTTCTCGTGAAAATTGAGTATACTTTCACAAAGAAAAAGAAATATATTCTATCAAACAGTCGTGACCAAGTAACCTAGAACGAAAACGATTTGCGGTGAGAACCATGGAGTTGGAATATATTGAAAAAAAGAGTGAATTCCACCCAAGTGCTTCTAACAAAAGAAAATCAACAGCACTAAATTCTTTGAAATCTATTCAATAAAGTGTAGCATAAACTTACGAATTAGGTTAAAATTGTGAGCAAAGGTGAAAGAATTCCCTGCGAATTCATTTCACAATCACAAAATTTCACACCACATACACCAACAAAAAGCCAAATGATCCTAAAAATTGTTCTATCCCTTTCCACCAGAATGCGATAGTACTCTATTAAAACTTAATATCTTGATACACTTACAACCTCCAGTTAGTCTGGATGCAATGATGGAATTCACAGTTATAGAGCGGATGTAACTAGCAGGTTCTTCAAATCATATGTATCATAGACCAAAGGGATATTTTCATTTTCTTTCCAAAATTTTTCTTATTTCTTCCAGAGTAGCATCTCATTGATGGCTCGGGCCCCCCGAATGGGTTCATTCAACGATGTAATAAAATATCACAATGTGATAAAAGAATCAATTCAAAATTCATAATCTTCGTGCAACTATAGCTACAATTTTCTGTACTTGAAATTAGATTCAAACGTAGATATGTGCATTTGCTCGGGATATAAGTATGTTTGACAGGACAAAATGAATCGAAGCACAAAAAGAATTATTTAAGATAAAGCTAAACTAAGAATATGGAGGGACAAAATAACATATAATCATTTGTATACTGAAGCTGTTTGGAGATTACCAGATGCATATAGGGTTATGTATTCTAATGCGCTTAGACGTACACACTGAGTTTCTCTACTAAAGATTGTGAAAGTTTTAGCAATCAAAACTGGCGCCGAAATGTAAATAAAATGACTATTATATGAATAAGTTAAAAAAATTTACTTATAAGTTTATTTCTATTCATTTACGCATTTCGTGGAATTCAATTATATTCATTCTAAAAAGTCCCTAATAAAAGTACCAAAACAGAGATTAAATGAGTAGTAGTCGTGAATGTATTTATTCAAACTAATATTCAATTTGGACTTTGAAATTATAAGGATATTATGCCTCCATTTGGAAGAACTTGTAAAATAAATAGCTTAGTTTATAAATAGATAAAATAAACGATGAATATGTAAGTAATATTTATAAATTCATCGAATTATTTGATTGAAAATGAACTTGATCAATTTATAAATTTGTCAAATGAAGGCCAAATAATTATTCTATTTGGCGACTCCACTTGCATGACCTGCAGCAATTCGTCCATGTTCCTTGGAGGTTAAAATTTGAATTTTTAGTAAATTTTTGTAAAATTGATGAAATATGTGATTGAAAAATTGTGGGTCGTATAAAATTTGTGATTAAAATTAATTATTAATTTTGACTTAAATTAAAAGTTTAATTTTAATTCCTATCCAATAGGGTTTCATATATATATATTTTTTGGGGATTAATAACTTGAGTACACACCACAAAAAAAAAAAAAAAAAAAAAAAAAAAATCTCTGGTTCGTCATGGAGGGAGGCGTTGGTAAATGATTGTGACAATCGCACCAATGTCCACCGAGCGATAAAAAGAAAAGAAAAGAAACATTTCGTACTTCATTGACATTTTGGATATTAGTCAATAGGTACAAACACTAACTGCGAACCACGTAGTAAGGAAATTAGAAATTACGTCTGCATATAGCTTAAACCTCCACCATCTCTCTTTCCATAATCACTTGCATTTAGATTCGAATCCGCGGAAAAACTGAGAAGAATGGCGTACGAGGGAATTCTAATGGGAATGGGAAATCCACTTTTGGATATTTCAGCTGTGGTGGATGAAGAATTTTTAGCCAAGTAATTTCTTGTTCTCTCTCAAGTGAGATCTGGTGTTTTCACTCGTTGCTTTTATTTGGTGGCATTTGATTTCACAGATCTAAGTGAATGTGGAAGTTCAGTATGATTGTTGGGCGTTAGTATTGGTTTTTATAAGTTGCTTGTGTTTTGTGTTTGTATTTTAGATCTCAGATTTTATATTCACAATTCAACTTATTCGATCTAGTAATTTATTTTGTAATGGTACTATTGTGTGAATCTTGGGAGTTAAATTTTGGGTTTTTTTGTATGGTAGGTATGGTATTAAATTGAACAATGCAATTCTCGCAGAGGAAAAACACGTGCCAATGTAAGTGATTTCTTGCTAGTTTACAGTTATGCTATATTTATTACTAATTAGGTTTGTGATTGGTTTTTTCTTTGTGATTGCTATATTTATTACTATTTGATTTTTAATTATAATAGTGGCCATGTATACTGGATTGTAAAATTTTAGGCCCTATTCTCTTTACCGTTTTCGGTCGTTTTCTGTTTTCGATTTTTCAAAACGGTGAAAACGTGTTCTCTTTCCCGTTTTCGAAAACGAATTTTCGAAAACGTTTTCGAAAACGAAAAAAATTTATGAAGAAAACACAAAACGACTTTTTTGTCGTTTTGGGCGTTTTCAGTGTAAAACTTGAAAAAATTGAAAACGCGGGAAACACTTTTTTTTTTTTTTTTTTTTTTTTTTTTTTTTTTTTTGGGGGGGGGTTGGGGGGGGGGGGTGATGAAATGCAAGTTTTAAGATATGAAAGATTCGTACTAGTCACTATGTTTTGTTGAGGAGGTGGTGTGGTGATTCTCAAAGTTTCAAAAAAAAATTAAAAATAAAAAAAAAAAATTTTTGAGGAGATAGTGTGGTGATTCTCAAAATTTAAAAAAAAAAAAAAAAATTAATTTTTTTTTTTTTTTTTTTTGGTGTTTTGAGGTGGTGTTGTGGTGATTCTCAAAATTTAAAAAAAAAAAATTATTTTTTTTTGTTTTGAGAAACTAACAAAAAGAACGCATTTTCAACAATTTCAAAACAAAAACTCAAAATACAAAACTCAAAATGAATTCAAAACTCAAAACACAAAACTGAAACACAAAGAGAACACCCCCTTAACTTTCGAAGCTAGCTTACTGCAATGTTCTCTGTCTAATTTGGTGATTAAAAGTATTTTTTATAAATCTCGCTAGGCCAAGCTTTTTCGTTGGTACTAGACAAAATTGACCCCTGAAACAGGAAACAAGATGAGATTAATCATAACTTTTGTAGTGCATGATTCTCTTGTTACCCTAGATGAGAGTTGGTCTAGCAGGAAGACCATGCCTCTGCCAGATGTTCACCTTGCAGTCTGAACCTATAATACCATTCAGTTTGTTTTCCGATTAAGCAATGGGTCTTTTGTTTCCATTTTTTAGTAGGTGGGGTGTTTGATTGTTCTGTTCTTGTAGAACTAAAGTTGCAAAAGTCTGATATCTTCAATTTTCAGATTTTACCTTGCAATCCACCTGTGATGTTGTTCCTATTATTTTTGATTTGTCATGTTAAAAAATGTGTCCTTTTATCACATAAGAGGTGATTTTACCTCGTAGGTAGTTTGTTTTAATGTTGCCTTTCTCTTATAGATCTGAAGTTGCAAAAGCTAGGTTTATTAATATTTGACTTCATTTGAGATGAATAAGTCCTAGAAACTTACTGGGAGAATAATAATATAAGTTCATTAATAAGAAAAAAAAAATGCTCTAAATTTTCAAGAGAAAAAGAAGAAGGAGATTTTGTGTTTTCATCAAAAAGAGTGGTTGCTTGATTAGCACTCAAAGAACTCTATGCATGTCTCAGGTATGATGAAATGTCATCTAAATACAATGTTGAGTACATTGCTGGAGGTACTTTTCCGTACTGATATTGCATTCATGAAACTGGTTCGTATGACCTTCTCTGTTAATGTACTAGTAAGCATTATTGATGATTTCTATCATTTGGTAATGCAGGTGCCACACAGAATTCAATCAGAGTTGCTCAGGTACATCTGGCATTACATTCTGGCTCTAAAACTCTTTTCAATTCTATTCTTAAAAAGTTAACATAAAAGAACAAAATCCATATTACCATTTGCAGTGGATGCTTCAAATTCCCGGCGCAACCAGTTACATAGGATCCATTGGAAAGGACAAGTATGGCGAGGAAATGAAGAAAAATGCCAAAGAAGCTGGTGTTAATGTAAGTTATTTGTTTGCACATTTTAGCATTTCCATTGTTGACGTAACCATCAACATTAGTGGATTTTCATTTGTCAACGACACAAAACATTACCATGACTTTTGACCAAATTATACCCATGCGATCCTCTATTCAATAGTGTAAACACCATTGTCATCGTCATTATCACAAGTCATGACATCATCATTGTGTTATCTTTTATTTCTTACTTATTCTTTCTTCTAGATTTATAAGAGTAAAATCCCAAAACAATAACAATTACTATAATAGAGATAATCTTTTATCTCATGCGCATGGCTACATTAGGTTCATTACTATGAAGATGAGTCTCCTACCGGTACTTGCGCTGTATGTGTGGTGGCTGGTGAAAGGTCAGTATCCTGGCTTTTGCTTAAATTTTTCGTTTCCCTGTCTGCCATTTGGTTAAGTAAACTTTTCTTTAGCTTTACTTTTTATTAACCCATATCCTCCAATGCACTGAAAAATTGAATTTTTTTTGGAAAATTTAAATCGAAGTGTTGTCAATATAATTTGAGCAGTTATATGAAAAAAAAGAAAAACTAATATTCCATTGTTTCTCATGCATTATTATGTTTTATTTTTCTGTAGAATTTATACCTAGATGTTTCAGCCTATGCAAGGGAACATGCTTTAACAAACAAGTTAATAAAAATGATTGAAAGATCAAAGGAATATTAGTTGAATTGATAGTAATGCTCCATATCCAGACTGGTGCTTTAGACTCAATTCTCAGCAGACCAGAAAATTTTGGACTAAAATATAGTTCTGTTACTTTTTTCTTGAACAATCAAGCCCTTCAAGCCTTAATGACCCCAAAATATACTCGAAGTACAAAAGCTTAAATAACTGGGATGAAGTCCAAAACCTACTGTAGTTTAAATCACTGGGTGAACATTATATTATTTCTAATTGACTTAGCATGCATTTGCTCACCTAAAGAAAATAGACTTCCTTTTAAATTGACGCATAATCAGTTTACACTAGCTTGCTAGTATTTACATACAGGACTTGTATAATACTTATGTGACTTTCAAATCAATGGATTGTTTTCTCCCTCTTTAACTATTTTAGCAGCAAGTAGAGATGAATCAGTTCAAAGCCTGACACTGATGGGAACTCCCTTATATTTGCTCCAAAGTCTTGGTTCTATGAGCTGAAGGCATACATTAGTCTTAGTGGTTAGGCAAACTAGAGAAGCTTAACCCTCCAGCTCGGCTCAGGCTGGGGGCATTGACTTAGGCACAATTGAACTTCTCTGATGTGGCCTCAAACAAGTAACACTTCAATTGACTGAGTATACTGGATTGACATATTATTGGATATGTATTTGCAGATCACTCGTGGCCAATTTGTCAGCAGCAAATTGCTACAAATCCGATCATTTGAAGAAACCAGAAAATTGGGCATTGGGTATGCCTACTTAAGATTGTTTACTTTTGGCCTGAGTCATGCGCGAGGATGAAATTGCAGTTGAACACCCCTTCCCGTTGCTCTGATATTGTGTCAGTTTCTCCCTTGTGGTTTGGAAGTAGTCTAATAACCCCTTGTGCTATTCAAAAGCTTGCTGATTTTTGCCCACTTTCCATGAAATTGGTTTTGTAGCATTAATACTTTTCTTATGAAATAACTATTGTATCTTTCTTAATTCAAAAATAGCACCACTGCCTGGTCAGAGGATACATTGGTCATTTTATATTAATTAAGAAAAAACTAATGCTGTTGAGCCAAGTTCATGGAAAGAGTTTTGGAACCATAAGAGATCAATAGATTATTTCCCAACTACAAGGGGATTAAACAACAAGCTGTCCGAGCTTCGTAGAGGTAAATTTTATTAGCCCTTTTAGCAAATGAATTAACTTGTCTGTATTTTGACAGTTGAAAAGGCCAAGTACTTCTACATTGCTGGATTTTTTCTCACAGTTTCCCCAGAGTCCATCATGCTTGTTGCTGAACATGCAGCTGCAAACAACAAGGTTGGAAATTAGACGCTAATTTGCCTAATCATTGGCTAAACAGCAGCTTCTGATGAAACCTTTTTGCTTACTAAACTGTGTCTACAGGTTTTTATGATGAACCTCTCTGCGCCTTTTATCTGTGAGTTCTTCAAGGATGTGCAGGAGAAAGCATTACCGTAAGGCAAATGTCTTTTTCTTCCAAATAAGTATAGAATGTGACATAGAGCTGTTTATCAAGGCCTTGTCTTTGGCTTTAGGTATATGGACTTTGTTTTCGGAAATGAAACGGAAGCACGAACTTTCTCTAAAGTTCATGGCTGGAAGGTAATGGTGACTTTGCATGAGATCTGCTGACACAGTAACATGTGCCTTTATAATGTACTTAACAATTGGTTGCCGTTAATGACCAGACTGAAGATGTTGAGGAAATAGCTTTGAAAATCTCTCAGTGGCCAAAAGCATCTGGAACACACAAAAGAATTACTGTTATTACTCAGGGTGCAGATCCAGTTGTTGTTGCAGAGGATGGGAAAGTGAAGTTGTTCCCTGTAATTCCGTTGCCGAAGGAGAAACTCGTTGATACAAATGGTGCAGGTAAGTGATTTCATATTCTTTATTATAGAGTATACCACTTTTTTTCAGAAGATAATAAGGGGAGGGAAATATTGAATAATGTTAGTTTTTTTCCGAGAACTAATCACACATTCATGAAAAAATTACATACATGGTTTGAAGAATTTTTCCTACGATGAAAGGGTTCCTTCAAGAAGCTTTATTGTTTAATTGAAGGAATAGACTTATAGATTTCATTACACTCACATTTCTTTTTGGACGAGCTAATGACATTACTTCCTGTCAGATCTCAGCATTGGTACCTGATCGATGCTAGTAAATTTGATTACTTTGCACGTTACCTTTTGTCAGAACTCAGCATTGATACCTGATCAATGGGAGTGAATCTAATTACTTTGCATTTACATTTGTTTCAGGGGATGCTTTTGTTGGGGGATTTCTGTCTCAGTTGGTTCAAGGAAAACCCATTGAAGATTGTGTAAAAGCAGGTTGTTATGCTTCAAATGTCATTATCCAGAGGTCCGGCTGCACGTACCCTGAGAAGCCCAATTTTAAGTGAGTCTCTTTTTAATTTCCGTGGCCACTCATTGCTGGTATTTTATATATATCGTTTGCTTTCTCTCTGCCCATGTATCGCTTAAATCCTTGCCTGCAAGAAATTTTGATTGGACCCCAAATTACATTATTTGATGTTATTATTGAAGCTTAATTTTTCCCCAGATGATGTGATGATTCTGTCATTCATGGCTAGTTTGGATGATGTGAAGGAATAAAAATTAAGACTTCATTTTCAGCTTGTAAAGCATTATAATGTTTCGTAAAGGGTAAATCACTTTCCAAGAAAGTTGCTTTTCTTGTCTGATTTTTTATTTGTTTACTTAATATCATTATGTAGAACGTATTTTGTATTTTGCTATCTATTTTATTATAATACACATGGAAAAGTTAGATTAAGGTCCATTTTGTGCTTGAAATAGTATTGTCCAGTAAAGGTTTTAGTGTAAATATTGAAAAAATTCATGGTCAAAACAAATATTTCTTGGTGTCGGGTTTGTGGTTTATTCTATTTTGGTGTTTGTTCTAATAGTTACTAATGAGGACCCACCATCTCTCCCAAAAGCCCAGGCTTGAGGGTGATTGAATCCAACAATTATTAGGCCCTAACAATATCCCACGGTCCCAAATCCCATGTCCACGTCGGCTCACTCCAAGGCGACCTTTGCTTTAGCCCTTTTTTGGTTGTTGGTATTTGACACTTTGCTTGGGTTGCCCCTTCCGGGATTCGAACCTGTGAGGTGGGTCCGCGCCGATACTAATTGATGGGGATCCAATCATCTCTCCCAAAAGCCCAGGCTTGAGGGTGCCTAGCAGTTACCTTCTCTTTTGCACATGGTATCGCTTACCTTCAAGTGGTGGATCATTCATCTGGGAATCACAGGTAATTTGTTCGTTCTGTTTTTTGTGGTGCAAGGTTAGGGCTCGAAAATCATCTACTGTTTAGTGTCATAAAATGGCTCTTGGGGAATTTGCTGGCCCTGTAGTGTCATGTTTCTTGTGGTTTTCTTGAGGGCAAATCTTATTCCATTTGTCAATCTGGTACCATGGGTTGAAGGTTCTCAATGGGAGATTGCAGAGTTTACAGTGAATTGGTTCGTTATTGATTTGCTTGTGGGACATTTATTTTCTGTGGGTTCTTGGGTTGCCATAGTAGACCAGATGCTAAATACTTGCGATATTTTGGACGTAAGTTTTCATATTTTGGGGGCATTGCACTACTCTCCTCTTTGGGTAAGTGTTTTGAAAGAAATAGTTTGCGTATCCCATGGGAGGTGGGTGTAGGTGTGGGTTTTGTCACAGCTAAGAACTTAGCTGTAGCTTTTCCTCTACTGTAACTCGGATTGAAGATGGTTCAGCTGAGCTGAATTGTGCAACCAAATTAAAGATAAAAGAATTGGGAAAGGATAACTGATAAAATAAAGAAGAAATGTAGAGAGAAACTGAATTGAATTAATCCACTCAATAACACCATTTGCAAAAATTATAGACGATCCCTTTCATCACGCATGGGTTGTATAAACACACCCACAACCGTAAAGGCATGTTTCCCAAATGCAAAACAGAAAAAACAACAATGGTTTACTTTAAAATCCAACAATTTAACCTAATGCCAGAACGAAGTCGCCTTACTAAGTTAAACAATGCCATTTCCATTTCAAATATCAGTTATTTCCGTTAGCCTCCTCCTTTCTCACTGATCTTATTATCTTCTTTCCCCATTGGTTCCTCTCCCGATAACCTTCCCCCTCACCTTGATCATCCCCAAGATTTACACAGTAAATTTCGATTTAATCCATTCAGCATCCTTCCATGTTCAGCTGCCTGCAGGTAAATCTATCCATATTATAAACCATTGCATTGATGTACGTTTCTGTCTGGTTACCACCCTGGTTTGTGATATGTCTTGAGGCAGGTGTTCAGGTTGATTTGAGTGACTTTTGTCTGGTAGCTGTAATACTGGCATTGCCCTGTCACCCAATTTTTTCTTTAACAGTGAGACATGGAAGATTGGGTAGATTCTAGAAGTGGTCTATTTTCTTGATAATTTGGTAGGGACCAAAATACCTTGCCCGCAATTTATAATTCTGTTTGTGCTCCACTGATTGTTCCTTATAAGGGTGGAGTTTAAGGAAGATCCAGTTGCCTTCATCAAAAGACATTTCAGACCTCTTCTTACCAGCATATAATTTCATTCTGGCACTTGCTTGTGAGAGACCTTTAGTTGCTGGTTTAATTTGTATCTTTGTTGAGCCAATCTTCCACAGCTGTAATATTTGATTGTTGGTATGGTCGCAGAGACAATTGAGGTGGCTTTGTTCCATAAAGGGCTTCAAAAGGGAGTCATCTTTATGGAGGAATAATAGGAAGTATTATACCACCATTCTGCCTGTGAAAGCTATCTTCCCCACTATTTATGATGTTGATATGTCATGCATCTTAAGTACATTTCTAGATACTGGTTGAACCTTTCAGTTTGCCCATCTGATTGAGGGCGATAAGCAGAGCTGAAGTTGACTTGTGTGCCCAAGAGTTTAAATAATTCCTACCAAAATTTGCTTGTAAAGACTTTATCCCTATTAGAGATAATGCTCTATGGTAAACTATGGAGTTTAAATACAATGTAAATGATACTTCTTGCAACTGTAACAGTTGTGAAAGGATGGGAGATGGCAATGAAGTGCCCATATTATGTAAATCTATCCACTAATACCATTATAGTGTCTTTACCCCCTGAATTCGGTAATTCTTCTATGAAATCCATGCTGATGTGGCTCCAGGCATGTAAAGGCACTGGTAGGGTCTGTAGTAGTTTGGGGGTAAGGAACATGTTTCCCCTTACATTTCTGACATACTTCACATTGTATCACCTCCATTTTTATGTCTTGATTCATCCTTGGCCAATATAATTGCTGCTTGGCCCTATAAATGCTGTTGGGATTCTTGAATGGCCACCCTCCTGAGATCCATGAACAGTTTGGATTACCTTTTATGTGATTTCCCTTTCTGTTCCAATATATAGCCCTTGTTTGAGCCTTCATTTTTCCTTACTTTTTAGCCACAGATTCTTCAAAAAATTACTATTCAATAATACATTTTTCCCCAAAAATGGGGCTCAAACAAGGGTATAATTTGTCTTTGTACTTCTGGACACAATTGCTGTACTTGAAGTTAGAATCGGAAATAGGATCCAGTAGTAGGGATTGAACCTTGTCCAGCAAAAACATTTCATTTGTAGCTATCTGTGGCTTCTTACATCCAATTAGGGATGATCACTGTCATGCTAAAGCAGCCTTGTTCTCAGCTATGCCTCCTGGACAGGGCATCAGCCACACCAAGTTATCAGCACCCCTCTTATACATTATCTCATAGCTGAGTCCTAATAATTTGGTAAGCCATTTCTATTGAAGTGGTGTGGTGATCCTTTGCTCAAGTAGGTAATTGAGAGACTGGTGATCAATCTTTATGATGAAATGGTGGCCTTCCAAGTAATGCCTCCATTTGCCATTTGCCTTAGTACAATAATTGCATTGTGCTTTCCGAATATCCTCTTCATTTTGAATACCAACTTTTTTCCGTGTCGATTCTTTCTTTGACCTTTTAGTTTCGAATACTTTTTCCTCTTGAATATCCTCCAAGTCAATTGGAATATTTTCAGATACATCATAATTGGGTGAAGTACTCGAACTTCCTTTAAATTGATTAACCTCATCACTAGTAAAATTATTCTTATCTATTAATTTTGGACCACTTAAAATTGAAAAAAAATTATAACAAAAGAAATTGAATATCGGAGCAAAGAAATTTGAGAGTAGAAAATAAAATACTGTAAGTTGAATATGTTGAGATAAATTGATAGGTCCAAATTAGACGTGACAAATTGATAAATTACCATGTCAACCTTCAAAAGAAAATATAGTAGCTATTAAAATTTCAATCTAAATATGGATTTGGTCAGTTGCTGGTGCTACGTCCCATATTTGTTGAAAGCTAAAAAGCTCCATAAAACCATCAATAATTGTGGTTTTGTTGGTATATATAGTTTGTTTTATTATCGCCAATAAAGTATAAAGATTTTTGTAGTCAAACAACAATTAAAGAGCGTGAACATGAAAAATTATATGAAGAACTATAATTTTAAAATTGAACCAAATAATTAAATTCCCCCCCCC